TAAAAAAATGACTCTACAGTAGCACCCGAACTGAAAGGTGGTGGAAGATAATTCGGCAATTTGGTATCCTTCTCGCCAGTCGCCCTATAAAAGGGGGAGTATGTAAGGTATTTTCGATCTCCTTTTCCAGATGCCTTCATAGTGTAATTGGAAGCATACTCGACGCGTATTCGAGAGATCTAGTCTCTAGTCCCGGCTAGGGCATTGACCATTTTTCACATCTCCTGCTTCAAAATAACTTAAAGAATCTAAAAGTAGCGCCCGAACTAAATGGGTGGTGAAGGGTAATTCATCAACACCAGGTTTTGGCGACTGAGAGTCTCCTAATCCCCAGTCACACTTTAAAAGGGGAATTATATAAGTAATTTCTCCCTTCTTCCCGCATGTCTTCGTAATATAATTGGAAGCATGTATTCCAAAAAGCAGCTGGCGGTATCCCAAAAATTACAATTATGCACTTTCTGTTTAGTAAAAAGAAGCACTCGAAACAAGAACTTTAATAATACATTTTATTTAAAATATTTTGGCTCTTCTGTTTTTCCACCTTTTCTTTCTCTCTCCTTTTTTTTAGTTTCTTGTTCGAAGTAAAGGAAGTACTGTAATCACGAAAAATTCCGGGTACCATATTTCAACGAAAATATTCATTTTGATCGCTATCGAATGCACTTTAACGATGTTTCTGAGTGACATCTGTACGTAAGGACAGAATAAAGAACTCTTACGTATGTATATATCTCGCATAAATCAAAAATGAATAGTCTCAGAATGTTGAAATTTTGTATGTAGGACTGCTACAACATGTAGATGTGCACCTCCCCTTTTTTGTTGCAATCGGCGGCACCAAAACTATATGAATGTAGATTCCATGTGGGCTGCATAAGTTAAATCTATGGGGCTTCTTGATTACGAAGACATTTTAATGGAACAGAATACACGGCAAATACACATACGATGCACAAACTACAAAATACCAATAGAAAACTGCTGACGTCTTACATCCAACTTTTGAATTTTAGTTCTTGTTGCCAGTTCTAAGAAAGCATCGCTAATAACTCTAAATATATTAAAATTACATATTACTCTGATTTATATATATGTATATATGATGAATATATGATGAATGAACGGGAATCTCGTTCATTTGCGCCTTGGTAGCTAAGGATGATGACTCGGCAAAAGCATTAAAACTAGTCCTGCGAAAAGTTTGCAAATATAACGCTGATTTTTCTTTGACTTCTAAACTAATATCTGTATACTATAGTTGTACAATTATCAACAATTTAAAAGGTGTTTAAGTGCGGCTGAGCCTCATTTTTTACCGTAGCAGCTATATTTGTTTTACATTTGAAAGTTAGCAGAGTAGTGGATTTGTTGCCAATCTAGGGAAACTAAGCTTCGCAACAACAAAGTAACATCTTCGTTTATTATTGTGAATTAAATTATGCATAATTAATTCTGGATTATAATTTAAGTTATTCACTTATCCCATACATTGACACAGCATAGCGTCCACGACAAATTAAATCAGTTTCTACGCCTTCAGCGTCTTTTTGAGTAAGCCCAAAAGTAAACTTTCAGTTTTTTGCACCGAAAAAGCTGTCTTCTTGCACGCCGGCCGGATTGCTTGTCTTTGCGTAAAAATTTAATTGTAAAAACTGGTTTTTTTTTTTTTTTTTTTTTTTTTTTTTTTTTTTTTTAAATCTTTAAAAATTTGGTTGTTTTTTTTTTTTTTTTTTTTTTTTTTTTTTTTTTTCTATATCTTAAATTCTGAATGAAGATATTTTGTGTTTTTATTATTTTTGTCTTGCCGCTAAGTGAAACCTGAATTAATTGAATGCGCAATACATCTCTAATGAAATTCGAAGAAATAAGTGTTTCATATTAGCAGACAATGCTGTCGCCAGTCTGTTTTCAGAGAGAAGAATGTTTACGAGTAGTGCATGTGAATTAGGTAAGAAGCGCTGGATCGTTTAGAAAAACTGTTTATTTTTTATTTGTTTACTTTCTTATATACATCGCTTTAGATTTATTATAATATTTGAAGAGAATATGTGGAAACGATTAAATAATTCTTCAGATGATATAATTTCTTTGCATTCTGAGTTATAAAATGAATGAGATTTATTGAACTTAGCTGAAGTGTAGGGTAAGTGAGCCAGAGTATCGCTATGGAAAATAAATATAGTGAATTTAGAAAAGCGCATTTATTCAATTGCTGTTTATGCGCTATCGAAGAATTCGATTTAATACAATTCAATAAGTTGAAACGAAATAGAGGAAAAAATTAGTATAATTTAACATTCCGTACAAGGAATTCATGTGGTGATATATACATCAGATTTTGTATTTCTGTCATTCTGAATTCCTAAAAAATGATTTTAAGTTCGGCACTTCTTAAGATTACAAATATTATACATAAAAAGATAATGTTTAGAAATATGCATATGCACGTTAGAAAATGAAAGTAAACTCACTACAGACGTATTCACCTGATCAACATTTACGTTTACAAGTAATGTTATGAAAATGAGAATAATCAAAAACAATCTGAGAAAGATCATCAAAAAGTTTAGCTCACTCCGCGCGCTCTATGAGAGTTAATATGAATGCTAATCCATCAAAATTTATCAATCGGATTTGAAAACATGAGTTGAAAGTTATACAGGACACAGGTGCGTTGGCTGGTCATTTTAATTTAAAGCATTATTCGATTCGTTAGAGAATCGGTGACTAACTAGTTTCTAAAGAATTCTACTAGGCTTTATAAAATTTCTGTAGAATTTTATAGAAAAATATTTTTATAGACAGAAGAAGAATAGAAATATAGAAGCATTTCTACAGAAATTTCTGTAGACACAGAAAGATTTCTATAAATTCTTTAGATATATTCTATAAATTTCATAGATTCTTCTAAGATTTCTATAAAGTTCTACAGAAATTTCTTTAATTTCTATGAGAAATTTCTGTTTTAGCATATGTATATTTAGCTGTATTTTTAATAATATTTAAATATAAGTAAAAGTTTAAAAAACCTATTTTAAAATATGCTTTTAAAGAGCTTTAAGCTATTTTTATCAGATTATTGTGCAAATATGTAATTGTTTTAAATGCGCTTTGAATTTCGTATTTCGGCCTAATTTTCAAACTCTAAATTATCTGCTGCATATTTCATAAAACTTTAACGAAATTTTGATTAAAAAAACTCAACGATTTCATAACGAGCAGTGGTAACACTGTACGGAATAAAACATTTTTTATCTCCAGCACGCTAGATTGTCTATGGGAAGATTTTCAAAGGCTATTTTTAATATTTTTAGCCCAAAGGGGCGTTACCCCAAATGCTCTCGAAATGTGTATGTATATGTAAATAAAAAAACGCCCCTTTGCGTGTAATATAAAATTTGAAAGATTTCAAATATTTTTATTTGTTTATTGTGCAAAATATTTAATTCTTTTAAACTTATTTGAGACAAGGTTACTTCATTAAAAGCTGGGCTGTTAATTATTCTAAAAATTTCTCTTAACATTAAATTCAATATTAAATACATATATACACTTTACCTATCACGACTTCACCCTGGAAAGCCTACTCGAAATTTTGCTTTGCAGAACAAACCGTATGTAAAATCCTCTGTCAAACTTTGATACTCTCGTGATATATGATTAAGTTACGGCTGATGAGTCGAAGAATAAAATTCTGTGTTATCTATTAAGATGCCGCAGCTTGAGAGCAGTTCCATTGAAGATGCTGAATAAAATCGGTATGCTAATTACGGTAACAGTGTGAGCCTGGAGTAGCTAATATTTCCCAAATTCGGGAGGGTGGGGGGATTTGGTAACTATTGAATGTTGCTTCATGTCTCTCTGACCTCGTCGTCGTCCCTCACCTTCTAATTGGACTGTGAGGGACACGAAAAGATGAAGATATCGTACCCAAGCTCATGGGAGAATATGCGGAAAAGAGCCAACGTCGACTTCATTTTTTATTTAATGATGAAGAAATATGCGTCCACTACTGAATGTGAAACAAAATTACAGACAATTTAAAAAGCGATTTATTTACAGATGCAGAATATCTGTAAAAAAAGAAGAAAAGAATTTCTGCTCTTTTAATTTTAACTGGCCGCTTGCACTGTCAGCCGCCTAAAATCACAAATCAGAAAAAAATACATAACGATTTTAATGATTCCAATTAATCTAATTTCATAAAAATATTTAATTTTTCTAATTATACAACATTTTCTGATTTAAATGTACTTTAATATAAACTAATCAGATTAAAAATTAGTAAAAATATTCTTAAGACTTGCTGTTATATCTTCTAAATCGCTTTTTTTTTTTTTTTTTTTTTTTTTTTTTTAATCGATAAGGAACAGCTTAGATTTGAACGTTAAATGGAATTAAACTAGACTTATGCTTTACTGAATAGCAACTCGCTGGTGCGCTGAAGATAAAAGTATTTTATTTTAGCCAGTGGCAACACATTGTTTTTAAATAGTTCAGTTCGGTGATTAAAGTTAAACATAAATATTTTTCATTTTGTGAAATGGCAACAGTCTCGTGTGTTGGAGATAAAAGTATTTTATTTCCAACAGTTCCATTTTATTCCTCTGCTCACTTTCAAATGGCTGAGACTGTTAATCAAAAGTTCATTTATTTTGTAAAAATATGAAATAAATCAAAAACAAATTCGAAATTTGGGTTACAGGGCATACAAATTTGAGTGAAGGACTATATATATTTAAACTTTGGTGACTGTAATAAAATGTGATCGTTGTTCTAGAATGCGAGGAACATACATACACACAAAAAAATTCTTCATTATTTAATAGTAAAGAATAAATTAAGAATGGAAGAGAGCTGTGGTTCTTTTTAGGATGACAGTACCTGCTAGTGAGAGTTGAGAGAACTGTAAGCAAGGGCATCAGCCATGCTGACCCAGAATTGTTAAAGAAACCAAACAATTAATCCGCCACACCCAAGGGTAGGAAATCAACCGGTTACTTTTCAACTTTCACTTTTCATGTTTATATTTTATTCAGACTTTTCGGTATAAATACTAGCGACTGGACACCACACTTCATCAATTGATCTCCTTTCCTCTTGTGGAATAAACAGTTCTAACGATATCCTTTCCATCATGAAAGTGGTAAGTCCTTCTCTTATAGGAAATTCAATAAGAAAGTTTTAACCAATGTGTTTATTTATCAATAGTTTGCAACCAAAAATAATTCTTTTTAAATATTTGAGCTTCAAAAAAATTTTAAATAATGATGTAAATCGTTTAATATGTTTTCTAGCTTTAATGAAATTCGAATAAGAAATAGCTATTTAACAAGATTATTCTTCTTCATTAAAAATATTCTAACTTTCTGCATAAATAATTGTACAGTTATTTAATCTAAATTCATATACTTTAAGTATAAATTAGTCTAATTTTTAATATAAATTAATATACTTTGTCTATAATTAATCTTCAATCTACAATCTAATAAATATGCACAATTTGAATAGAATACTTTAGCACTCGCTGCCGAATTCCATATTTAACGTAAATGATTGATAGTGAATGAACATCTCATGAAATTCTAAAAAAGTAAATTTTATTTAGCTAAACAATTATTTACTGATATTTCAAGCAATAGTTCTCTAGAATTAGAATCGAAATCCAAAGATTATGACTATATTCATATTATGAAATCATTAGTGTTATATAGAAAGTACAATTTTGTTCGAAACATGACATATTAAAAAATAATTAGTTCATAAAGAATACATTTCTTGTGAAAAATTTTATTGAAAGCACATTAATCTTAAATGCTATTCTAAAAAGAAATCTATCACTTTATTCTTAAAAAAATAATAGCGTACAAATCTTAACTTTACATTTCAGTTTGGTGCATTTTTAAGGGCCACCTGCTCTTTTGAAATGCAAGGAAGAAAGTAATACTGTGATAATGTTCTATAAATTAAAATTATGCTTTAATATGTGGTCGTACTTTTTAAAGTATGCACATATAATACCGAGAAGTTTTAATGATTTAATTTTGATTTATTAAAAGCTAACTAAGCAAGCATAATTATGTTTTAAAAAGCAATTTAAAATTAAATTTTCCTGGTAAAGCTTCAGGTAAAATAACTTAAAAAAAGAGCCGATTTTCCAAAAATTACTTAATGAGAAATAATTTTAACAAATATTTGGAATAAGATGTTTGTTGAAAATTTTATTTCAGAACTTTTTTCGAATGAAAAAATAGAGAGAAATTATTTATTAATTCAGCAAAATTATTATTTTTTTAAAAAAAAGTTTGTCTCCTGTAAAACTTAAAAAATATCTACATTAAGAAAGGTGACACGCATAAAAATCCCATATTACGAATAGTTCTATTATTTATAATATTCTGTTGACAGTATATACAATTAAATTATTAAATCCTATAGAAAATGCCAGAACACAGCTAATAAATATTAATGTTCTCCGTATCTTAAAATCAATTTACCTATCTTCTCTTGGACTCACTCACTCTGACACAACTCTTTTTTTCCTCTTTATTATAAAAATTCTCTTTTTCACATTTATGCCTCATAAAACTCAACAGCAAAATTACAAAATTTTTAAAAGCAGACTATCTTTAGACTTCCCAGTACAGTGTTAAGCATTGTCATACATGTTTTAGCTCAAAAGGGCTATTATTCTCTAAACTCTTTTTTTTTTTTTCATTTCCCTTTTCAAATAAATAGCCGCTGGCGCGGCCAGCTGCCTAAAATTGCTAGTGTAAAAATGAAAATTTACATGTAATACTTTTAATAAATAGTGCTATTGTCATTTAATGAGTCCAACTCGCAATTTAATAAAAGACATAACTAACTTCGTTTATTGTTTTTAAATCGCTTAATATGATAATCAGAAAGAGGTAATTTAAATTTCAAAAAATCATCTTATGCTTCGCTTAGTGATAACAAACCGGTGCGTGGAGCTAAAAATATTTTATAACGACTTCGGATTGGAATGGTGCAGTCACCAGGATGCCTGCGTACGTAGAACTATCCCTGTGAATAATTTGTTTTTTATGAATCATAGAGCTCAAATTAGAAATTTTACAGAATTTATATTTTCAAAGTAGACATAAGTAATGAAGGTAAATAAGACAACTAATAATTGCTGCCCTTATATTTCATAACGGATATCTTTAGAATTCCCGGTAAAGGGTTAAATGTTATCACACTTTTTTTATATATTCGCTATATTATTTCTTTAAAACGTAATACATAGAGATAAAATTAGGTAGCAACATTCTTTTATTTGTATTGCCATACTTTTTTTTATATTCGTTACAGTATTTCTTTGAAAGAAATACATCGCTATAACATTTGGTGGCAACATTTAAAAAATAACACGGACAAAAAGTGGGATTTAAGACTAATATAAAAAGTGTGATTTAAGACTAATAGCACTTCTGGAGCTAATAAGGACACCTAGGTATTAAAAAAAAAGGTAACTATAATGAAATATTTCACTACATTTTGTGCTGAGTAATTCGTTATTCAAAGCAAGCAGTATCATAAATTACTGTGGACGAATTAATATATTAATGTTACAGACAGTTTTCGCTATTACTGTATCTCCCTCTTTGACGCTTTCATTCAAGAAACTTTCTTCTCTTTTCAGTTGGCTATTGTCCTCCTCATGGCAGCGGCCGCTATGGCCCAGTACGGCCATCATGGTGGTCACCAGGTTGTCCATCATCAACCTGCCCATCATGCAGCCTCCTCTCAAGGTCATGCCTATGGTGCTTATGGAAAGAAGGACTCCGCTTATGATGCCCATGGTCGACATCACTATGGAGACCATGGACATTATGCTGATAGAGGACATCATGCTCATGGACACCACGACATTGCTGGATATCGTAAACATGATGCTGAAGGTGCCCATGGTAAGTTAACATCTTTTAATCTTTTCGCTTTATCGGGAGAGCTTATCGAATTCATCTCTATTTCTTAGACTGCAATTATTTAACATGAATTTCTGCTTATACAAACTAGAATTTGTTAACCAAATTGAAGTTGTCAAATGTTGACAGGATACATTTCCTTTGTAAATTTTCGTTAGTTAAATGGCATAAATCTTTAATATGCAGCAATGGTATGTATCTGGATTAGGTTTTCACATGTTGATGCATCAAACTGTCATTTACTTTAAATATATGTTTTACGTATTTTAACACTGATCAAAATTGAATCAAACAGCAATAACGCGTAGTTAACAAGAATATTATCTATCTAATTCAATTCATATAAAAATACTTTTCATCATGAATTCTTCAAACAAAGTTATGAGCCTGCATGTTTCATCTTTTAACTGCTTTGCTTCAGATACCTTTCTGTCTGCTATTCAATATATAATAATATTATTACACTTTAAGCTCAGAAAAATTTCCGAATGTTTGTTTACTGTACCCTCGAGCTGTAGATATTGTAATGATCCCTCATATTCCATAAGTTTAATTATTAATTCAAAATGAAAAACGAAACGAAACTTGGGAAGAAACTGTAATCATACGGTTTTATAACAGCTTTTAAAATGTCCTCTTAGCACTTTATAAAAATCTTTGATCTTGTATTCAGCTCCCACAGGACTATCATTTTAAATTATTTCCTACATTAATTTATTATCTTTAAGAACACTTTAAACGTTTAAAAACAATTTTTCGTTGATATTAAGCTCTCTTTATTTTAATCTATAAGCGTTATATAATACTCGATTGTAAATGAACTCAAACTTTTAGCCAATTATAATCAACCTTTTTATGAAATAATGTGAGGAATAATTATTTCAGCCTTATTTATCTTTAAAGGTAGTTCAGTGGGGAATAAAATTAGAAATTGAGAACTACTTTTTACTTCTCCGCTATAATTTACACTGAATTATTTTTGTTGTATCCCTTATAATCCCTTTCTTTTGTTTTAAACCGCAAAATAATTACTTCTAAGTTTCTAACTTCTCATAACGAATATTAGATTTTTTAATGAAGAAAAGGATTCTAAACGTTATTCTTATTTATTTATTCTATTTTGCTCTTCAGGAATTTTAAAATGATTGATATTATATAAAGAAAATTTTTAAATTTTGATCAAACTGGCTTTTAAAGTCTGATTTACTTTGATAATGTGAACTATCTCATATTTGCATGCATTCTCATAATAGTTGCTTCCTAAATTCTCCCAACGCATTCTGCCCACCAGCGGCCGAGCGGTATAGTCGCTGAACACTGGTAGTTCGGTCCGACGTTCGAATCCCGCGAACGGGCTGGCTGCATGGGCGTTTTCGTGGTTTTCCCCGTGTGTAACGTGTATATGAGCCAGTTTCCTTTAGAAAGTCCTTCACGAAGACATCCCTCCCCTTAGGCAGATAGACCTCGAGGCCTTGCCGTAATTAAATAACCCAAAGCATTATTTTTAAAACTTTGATTTAAATATTGTTATTAAATACGTACATCACAAATAACTCCAAATTATCTGATGGAATCAGGCAAGATGAGAAACTATTAGGCATTTATAAAGAACCAAAATACTTAACCTGGTAAGAATTTTTTTCACATTTTCATTTGATTGGAGCTTTACTGTCACGTGTCTCTTCAACAGCCTCCCACTATGGCAAATACCGCAACACTGGAGCTTACGCCCACGATAAAGGAGCCGGATACGAAAAGGCTTACCACTACGATAAGAAGGCCGGACACCACCATGTTTTGGCTGACCACGGTGCACACGCCTCCAAATATGGAGTCCATGACAAGCACGCCCACCACAACCAAGGTGCCTACGATCATGCCGGACATGACAAGCATGGATCCCACGACAGATATGGAGCTCAAGCCCACGGTGTCCACCATCATGATAATGCTGCCTACGGACATCACAACAGCGGACACCAACAGAAGATGTACTTCCAAGGACCCGGATATGGATACAAATACTAGACAGGTGAGTTACATTATGCATCCGTATCACGACACTGTAATACTAGAGCACTTTAGTACCCTATAACGAGGAAAGCCTGCAGACTACCACACAGCCAAAAATTTCGCAATTAGCATGTTACATCAGCGGACAGGGGAGCATACTTGACGTGCTTTTACAAATTTGATATTAAATACAATAGATTCTTGATTATCCCGCCTAAGTACCAGGGAAGTAGGTCAGGGTTAATTTAAAAAACACGGATAATCCAAACTATCAATTTTTATGCAAATTGCATGGGCTTATTTCTTAAAAAATCAGCAGTTTTACTTTGTTTATGATCACGTTTAAAAATTTCTCGAATTTCACAGCGTATTTTTTGAAGTGCTATTTTATCATTGCACTCGAATCCCCTCTGGTTGACAAATTCCAACAGAGTTTCAATAGGAGACACTGCCGTCTCAGGACTGATGTAATTGCCACTATCTTCTTCTCTTGCATTTTCAATACCACTCTCCTCTCGCCAGATCGATAATCTTCAACGTGGCGTATTGTCGATTCGCCATGTTAGAATCTTTCAATAAATGTAAGTTTTTGATTTAATGTTGAAAAAACTTTCTTGCCCTTAGTGTTTGTAGTGTGTTTTACATTTACCTTTCAGTTCTAAAATTTAAAATCGTTTTTGAAAGAATCAGAAGAAAACGTGCATGAAAATACTTTAGGAAACCAAAATATCCCGAAGCAATGCCTTCGACTCTGTATATGCAGAACAAACTGCACGAGGCAATCGTTGAAACTGAAGACGCTATTCAATGTTTTTCAGAGCATGTTTGGACTTGCGCGCTTTTTTTACACGTTCTAACGCACAACGTTGAGTATACGTGCATGGGCATCGCCACGTAGTTATAATCCGCAATTTATCCGCTACACTATTTAACAAGAATCTAAATAACAGAAGGGTTAAGTTTAAATATCAAGAACCCGAATAAAAATTTGAAAGTATTCAGCAGATATATAATGGATCGAATAGAATATGATAAAGAAAATTTGTGAGGTAATGGATGTACCTGACCAGCACTGCGTAATAATGTAACTCAGGGCACAGCAAATATAGTAGCATCTAATATATTGTGGCATAACAGTACTCCCTAGGTAGACAATATGCTAATACTATGTCATGCTCCCTGAGAGACTTCTTCCACTTCCAGTTCTACAACTGCTATGTTATAAAATGACTACTTACATTTTAGTTATAGCAAAATATTCTTTTTTCTCATTCTGTAATTTTTCTTTCTTTTCAGTTTCAACTCTCGGACACGATGACCCGGCTTCAAAAACGTTCTCTCTTCTCCTCTTCCGCCTGTTATTTATTTCTTTTCATCATGTATAAAAAACTTTAAAAAATGACAATAAAAATTTGAAAAAACTAAAATACATTTGTGTTTCTATTGATTCACACAAAACTCATATTTTAGAAGCTGAAACTTTAATAAAAAAACTTTTTAAACTTTAAAACAAACAGAGCACATTTTTACACAAGCATAGTTTGCTAGAAAAATTCAGGAAACGAAGATATAAGAACTACAAAAGGTCTATCTCGATAGAGTTAAAAGAAGCAAATATTTTCGAATTTCTGGCAACAGCTTATTATTTGAAATGGGAAATATCATCTGCTACTTTTAATTTAATTCTTTTTTCAAAATATTGCATGTAAACAAGCTGTGGGTGGAAAGACACGTTTTCTCACTTTCGTAAAAATATTTCTATTCTATAATTCAATAAACGTTTTAACATGCATGGCATTAATATTTTTAAGAGCAAAATAAGCAAAATTATTAACTGGAAAGAGAAAAAAACATCAGCCATCACTTCTATATTGAAAGAATAAACAAATACAAAAAAGAAGTAAGTACTGTTTCTGATGCTTCTAAAGTTAAATCATTGGTAACGAGAGAAAATCCATAGGCGCCGAAATCGGTTATAAAGACTTGAAATATATATTCAGTAACAATAAATAAAATAATAATACGAGATTTACAACCAAAAAAAGCTGAAAAAACACAATGTTCGCCAGCTTTTGTCGAATCATGTGTCTTCACGTAGAACAGTTTATAGAACCCTCTATGAAATTTCTTTAGTATGAAATAAATTGCGACTCTCAACGAAACATGATAGTACCTAAATGACTTCATAAAAAAGGTTTATTTATTATTGAAGAAGAAGAGAAAATATCGAGTTTTAACGAAAGTTTTCCGCCACAGTTAAAAATATCGTCTTCACAAATCGTTCGCGTTGGCGTGTTTAATCATATTTTGTCAATCGAGTTTCGGCACTTGAAAGAAAGAGACTTGCTTTAGAACACTGTTGTGAAATTTGTAAAAACATATCGTTATCATTAACTATATGGAGTCTGAAATGGAACTTCGTTTGTCATTTCAGGATCATCATTCTCAACTAATTCTTAAATTTTTCCTTCTAGTGTATCTGAAACTTTTACGCCACACAATGCTTTTGCAATTTGTACCCTTTCATTAGCTTTTTATTTAACATTGTTGAAAACTTCTGGCCAGCGCTGATGACAGAAAGCATTAATATTCTATAAATTCACTTCTTCTCATTCACGCTTAACCTTTTTTGTGCCGTGTCTTATGTTGCATTGCTTCCGAAATTCCATTAGTATGTAGTATTTTCTTCCATCTAGTGCCTTATTTCCAGGAATGTAAACATGCATTACATAATAGGCTTTCAATGTTTTTATGATTCTTTGACCCGTTGGTTGGATTAAAGAAGTGGTGTTCAGTGGAAGAAAGAAATAAAACTTCTACATTTGGATGCAATGCTTTGAGAGCTTCAGTACCATATCCTGAAGTGTTATTGAAAATCAGAAGATCTTTAAAACTCAGATTTTGCTGTTTTCAGCAAAGTTCGATTTTTATAATGAATGAATTTTCGTGCCAGTCATTATTTGTCGTATTGTGAAGACCCTAGTTAATTCTATTACTTATCAACTAATTTCTAACTGCCATGAATTATTGCTTTCGTTGAAGCTTTAATTCACAAAATGGACATAAAAGGAAATAAGCAAAGTCAATAACTAATAATTTATCAGTTAATCAAAATGAAGAATTTCAGTTTTAAACAAATATCAAAGAATTAAAATTTGAGTTAATTACAGTTTACAATTTATGCAACTTGCAGTTCAGCAGTTATTTATGTACGGATGATTTTCCAAATCGCCTTCTCTAGAAAGATAGCTCATTGAAGTTACTCAATCATTCTAATCTGAAAACTTTTAAATTAACAGACTTTTTAATATAGATTGTTTTTTAATTAACAGACCTTTTAATAATCTTGTTTACATTGAATTTAACAGCTCACAGTAACATGTAGCTAAGACACAGAAAAAAAGATCACAAATCGGCTAAAGATGTCTTATCTTTCTAAGCCGAGAACTTCTTTTCGCTTATAACAGTGCAATTTGCATATTCTTGGAGTAATCAGATTATACGATTCAGATAAAGAAAATTTAGAACTCAAAGAAAACTTAGAAGATCAGTTACCATTACATAGTATCTTAGCGAGTAAAGGTAGAAAAAGGTTTCAGTGCTCGTTTGAAATCTCGTTTAATAATTAAATTACTTTTTAAATTATCTTTCGATACTGTAAATATGGTGACTTTTATTTGTTTTAAGACGCTTGTATTTTTTTAATTTATTTGCATAGATCTTATACTAAATATTTAAACATAGACTTCAAATCTTTTCTTAAGATATTGATTCTTCTTTATTTTACTATTTGCTTGTTACAAAAATAAAGTCATCAACTTTCTTATAAAGTAATTTATTACAGAAATGTTAATTAATAACACTAATAATTCGGATATTCGAAAGTTTGGTTGAGATGTTTTGAAAGATTACATTTCTTGTCATATTCTTTTTTGTTTTAAGAAAAAACACAGTCAAAAATTTTCGTCTGCATTTAGAAAGTATTACATATTTAGCAAAATAATTAGCAGCTTCATATCTGAAGTGAACAGTGCAAGACGCTACGAATTAACACGTTTTGTTCTAAATTTAACCTTTCACGATTTTAAAGATCATAAAAGTATTCAAATAATCCTTCATGCAAAGCGTTCAAATATCTTTGATTGAATCGAATTTCATTAGAGATGTATTTCTCATTAAATTAATTCAGTTCTCACTTCGCTGCAAGGCAAAAACGATAAAAACACAAAATATTTTCATTAAGAATTTAAAGATATAGAAAAACATAAAACAATTACAGTTAAAAATTTTTTTTTTAATTCTTAAAATTAAAATTACAGTTTTTACGCAAAAACAAGCAGTTTGGCCAGCGGGCAAGAATTCAGATTTTTCGACGCACAAAACTGAAAGTTGACTTTTGTTCTCACTCGGCAAAAAGACACTGAAGGCGTAGAAACTGATTTAATTTGTTGTGGACGCTATGTTGAATCAATATATAGGATAGTTTTTATAACTTAAATGATAATTCCAGAAAGATTAAGCAAAATTTAATTCGCAATAATAAAAGAAGACGTTACTTTCTTGTTGCCAAGCTTAGTTTCTCTAGATTGGCAACAAATACACTATTATGTTAAGTTTCAAATATAAACAAATATGGCTGCTATGGTAAAAAAATTAGGCTTAGCCGCACTTAAACATCTTTTAAATTGTTGATAATTTTACAACTATGACATGCAGACTAACTAAAGGCAGAAAAATCTTGACCGTAAGATAAGAACAACATAATTCAATCATTTTTAAAGCAAAAAATGCGCAATTTATAAACATATAAGAATAAAGAAACTGAGCTCACTGAGCCGAGTAACAGATTGGCTATATATAAAAATATATACTTTTGATGCGGTTGATTGCAATCAAAAAGGGAGATGCACATCTACATGTTACAGCAGTTCCACATACAAAATTTCAACGTTATGAGATGCAAGATACATACGTACATACGACGTACGTATGTACATTTGTGGTGTCTGTACGATGCCACAAAAAACTCTTCTGAATACATTTTATAATTCGTTTGGGGAAAAAGAGTCTTATTCTGACCTTACGTAAAGATGTTATAGAGACATTCGGTTATTTCGAAGCAGGATACGTGAAAAATGAGTAATGCCCTAGCCAGGACTGTAACCGCTGACCTCTCGAATACGCGTCGAGCGTGCTGACCACTACATTACGAAGGCATGCTAAGAAGGGGAAAGAAATAGCTTATATAATCCCTCTTTTAAAGGGCGACTGGGGTTTTAGAGGACCCAAAAGCGAAATCGTGAAGAATCATCATCCAGCACCTTTTTTAGTTCGGTCGCCACTGTAGAGACAGATTATTTCGAAGCAGGAGATATGAAAAATGAGCAATTCCCTCGCCGAGACTCGAGCCACGGACCTTTCGAATACGCTTCGAACAAGCTGACCACTACACTACGAAGGCATGCTAAGAAGGCGAGAGAAATACCTTATAATGTCACACAAAAACATCGTTAAATTGAATTCGATAGTGACCAAAATGAATATTTTCGTTGAAATATGGTCCCCAGTATTTTTCGTGATTACAATACTTCTTTACTTCGTATAAGAAAGTAAAAAATTGAAGATTTAGTCTAATTTTTCTCAGAATATTTAATCCTTTAAAAGCTATCATATTTGTTTACTGGTTGATGAAATGTATGAACAAAATAAACATCATTCTCGCTATAAAGAGTGAGGTACCGGTATTGTTTTGCTTCTACTCAGGCTGATGTTTACTAAAGAACATAGTAAGTTCTAGTAATTTTAATTTCTTCAAATTATTTCAATATTACACTGGCTCACATTGTTTCTGGACACTTGTATTTTTGAAGATATTAAACTAAATATTGAAATATAGACTTCACGCTTTTTTAATATACATTTTTTTTCCTTTACTCTAAGCAATGCTTGTTGTGAAGTAAATATCATCAAATTATTCCTTGTAATAAAATAATTTATTCAAAACGTGTTAATCAGTAAATCCCATAATGATTCGAAGACGCGAAAGTTTTGTTGACATGTTGCGGTAGATATTATATATATCGATATAGATTCCTTGCTATATTTTTTCTTTTAAATGAAAATACAGTACCAGAATGCTCGTATGCATTTGGAAAGTTTTACTTGTTTAATAAAATACATTAATAGTTTCATATCTGAGGTGAACATGAAAAGGCACTAAAAATTAACGACCAAATCTGCCACAAATTTAAATATTGATCCTTTTAAAATATGATAAAAGTATTTAAAATATATAAAAAAAGAAGTCCTCGACGTAAAGCTCTTAACTAACTTTGGATGCAATAAAACAATGCCTACGTGGCACCCTTGAAAATAGAAGAACATTTTTCGTAAACAAGAAAGCAAGGAAAATAACGCCTGGCGTTCG